AAATGGCCTAGCATCATTGCATTGCAAATTTGTATTGCAAACTATTTACAATACACAAACAAAATACACGCATTTGCATTTGTCATGGCTTGACAAATTTGCAATACCGAAAATCCATAGCATGAAAATGCTATGCATTGCAACTCTGGTTGACATGTCTATCAACTGATTAAAAAAGTTTTACCATGACAGTTTAATAAAGGTCGCTCACAATCCATGGCATATTTCTGCAATTGTATAAATTTGTCAGCTCTTATGCACCGAATCGCGAATAGCCCTAATATTTTTACAGAGATGCATTGAAAGCATATTAGGGGAAGTCGGGTAGACTAATGCTACATTTACATGGTATGAATCTGTTCATAAGCCGTATGAATTTTCTTATAAAAGAAGCACCAACTCTATGAAGAAATGAATGAAAACGAAATTGTTAATATATATGACTTGTATACTTGACAATATTTTGTGTGTAAACAACAAATAAAAAAATTGTATTTTGTGCTAGCTTCGAAACTAGAAGCTTATTTTTTGTTAAATGTGCTTTAAAAAGGACCAACTACCAATAAAGCCTTGTGGATTGCTATTTTTCCATATTTGTAGTGCTTCCATTTAAACATCTTTATGGAAAAACAGTTTTTTGTTCAGAATTTCTTGTTTACGAAACGTTTGGCATAAAGTTGAAATCATAGGGATGCCGTTTTCTTCCGTTTCTCACAGATTTTATACTTGAAAAGGCACTAAAATATGTATGCAATACTTCTACGTATCAAGGAAATGCAAAACGTCGTATGTGAGGTTGCCTAAATTTTATAGGAGAGAGTGAAACTTGTCCTAATTAAAAACGGTTCTCTCTTTTAAACTTAATAATCTTCTCTCCTTATGTCTAAGTGTCGATATTTTATTATAAATGGCTAAGGGCTTGATATCAGGAGCTTCCGATGACCAAATATCTTTTTTGGCACAAATTTCAATTCCGAAGTTTTGCAGAACCGCGATACGCGCTTTTGTACTTTAAACGACGATATACATATTGGCGCTTGAACAATATGTTAGTGTTTGGCCTAGCTTCTCCTCCGAAATGCAGCGTGCGTGATTTTGTCACACAAAGTAAAGGACAGTTTTACGCCGACTCTGAACGGCAATTGTATTTTAATGAGAAGTTGTTTCCATGACAGAATACACTCGGAGGTTTACTATTACCAACAGAGGGGCAACCACTATTAGAAAAAACTGGGCTTGAACTCAGGCTCTACGTAATGCTCAACAGCAGCCGCCGAACTTCGGAGTGTATATATGTAATATAAAAAAGAATGAGAGATACTATAAGAAAATGTACCCAAAAATTCTGGAGCAAATGAAAAAATGCTCATTGAAAACAGTTCAGATGTATAAATTAAAAGATGTAACGTAATAGGTTACAGCGCTAAACTAAAGGAAAAGTTAGAAAAAATAGCAATGCGGTGCGAAGGAAATAAAAGACCATAAAATGTTTGTTTGTTTCGTTAATTCTCTGAACCTTTTAAGATATGACACTCCATTGTTTGAAGTAGTTTGCAAATATACACTAATTGTTCTAAAATCGCAAACATTTTCGTGGGATGTTTTTCTTTGATTTCGAATTGAAAATACATTACGATCATATTGTACCGAAATAAGTGGGGTATCCCTGCATTTTGTAAAAGCCAGAAAGAAGCATAAACTGTTTGAAAAAATGATAGGGAGAAGCATGGTAAAAATATAGTAAGGTAGAACCGCTGAGTCACTTTTAAAATTGTTGACGTTTCCAAGCAATTTAATTTTTAAATTTACTCACAAACTCACACACACATTTTCATTTTCAATCTCAAGATTGTTGTTGCAACAAGTCGAACAATTTCAATTTTTTATTTTCTCTTTTATATGATTTTAAAATGTTGGCAAACTTCAAAAAAAAATCATGGCCGACAAATTGAGAGAACGGTATACTATATTTTTATCATGGGGAAAAGTATACATGCCTTCTATAATTTTGTGTAAAAAACAAAAAATACACATTTTCATTTCTTTGCCAGCTTGCAAAATATAGGCTTATTTTTACTTAAATGTGATATAAAGCTCATTAAAATGTTCTGTAATGTCTTGTTTTTAAGTTTGTTATCATAGGCTGCATTTCTTTGTTCATTCTGAATGTTTGGAATAAACTTTTTTGTTTATTTATTCTTTAGAACGTTCCTGATGATATGTTGACATATATTTCAAACGCATTCTGTTTATTCCGGCTGTGAAATGGGATTATCCGGAATGTATAAAGAAACGCAGCCATAGTGGTTTGTATTTTGATTGTCCACTATACGTGAGTAGCTTCTATTCAAAAAGTTCTAGTACAAAGAATTTCTCTGTTTTGAATTTGTTTGTTTATTGTTTTTAATTTTTGAAATTCATACTTTTGACATGTATGTGAATGGCGGAGTTGCCGCTTTCCTCCTTTTCGGTTGGTTTTTATATTAAAAAGGCATCAAAATGGGAAAACCCCTGCTTGGTATCTCTGCATCTGTTAAACTTTTTATGGGAAGATGTATGAAAATTCATCTTGCTATAATTTCATATGCGTAACAGTATCACAACAGTATGTTTACAGTATCTCCCCATAACTTTTCATATGAAAAAACTTATTATATGCATCCCACTCGATATCATTGAATTCCTCATTGGAACATGTAGTCCCTCTATTTTTAACCGACTTCCAAAAAAGGAGGAGGTTATCAGTTCGTCGGAATATTTTTTTTATTATTATTTTTTTTTTTATATATGTTACCGCATAACTTTGGACCACGTCAACCGATTTCGATAATTCTTTGCATCGGAAAGGTAGT